AGATTACAAGCAAGGCCAGTTTACGATAGCGCTTTACTACGCTACGGACGAACACTCAACTCGAAGCGGCGGCGCAGGAATGAGCACTACGAGCTGCTAGCGCGGGTATCCAGTGCACCTGCGACGGCGCGAGCTCCGCTATTCAAGCTCCGCCGATTCGAGGATCGAATTGAACAACGGTGACGTGCGTGGGAGAAAATTTATTATTTGCCCGGTGGGCTCGTGCGCGGAGCAATGCGCGTCGGACGCTCGCTCGAATTCGAGGCCGATTTTTTTTCTCTTTTCAGTTTATGTTGTAAGCGACCTTTCGGAACATATCGAGCTCGAAATCGCGTAAAAACTCGCTCGACGCACAGCCCTCATCCGAGCTCTTCGATCAACGATTGGATTACGCAAGCTCACGTCGATATCACTGAATGATTCGATTTGGCTCTGTCAATTCCGGAAATTCCTGCAATCCGCTCCATAATTATTGCAGACCACTCACTGTGGGGCAGTGCGTTGGTGAGAGGGTTTTACGTCGCAGGCGAAGCTGGCCACCGATTCGGAGCTTTTATCGCTTTTATCTGGTGCGACAGGAGCCGGGGGAGCGACAGTCGAGCCACTGTCCGGCGCAAATCCCGACAAATGGTGAGATTTTCGCCGAAACAGATGGTTCCTGTGGACTTCCCTCGGCTCAGTCCCCATGACTCGGGTCAAGCGAGTTGTCCGCGATCAACACACATGTTCGAATACAGAGTGCGACATCAGCACTCGGCGGATTCCGGCTTGATTCAAGTGACGTGGGCAAAGCGGCCCACCGCTGGTTGGAGCGCTCCGGCGGAGCTGGGACGCCATGCCAAGAAAGAAAAGGTCGATCCCCGAACGCGTCGATTATCGCTTAGAATCGCTTATGTTATAGAGGTAGTTTCCTCGTCTCCGGCTTGCAACAAAGACCGCTTGGTGACGGCGACCTTTCAGCGACCCGAGACGTTGCCCCTCCGAGAGACCGGGTTCCCGATGTCCGCTTGTCTCAGATAATCTTCAGCATCGCTGCCTGAAATGCTTTCAGGGACGATTCTCCGTCTCTCAGGCCATAGAGGAGGAAGCGACGGGAAATTCAAGTCACGAAGATAGCGGCTCAAATTCATGTACGCCCCGAGAGGAAAATGTCCATGGTCCAGTTTCCGGATTCTTCCCGCTCCGAAACTTTGGAATCTTCGTCGAGGAGCCTGTCGAGCGTCTGCGGGATCTTCGCGGCATTCAGGAGGAACGACCTCGGAGGCCGAGTCGATGCTTGACTGAAAACCGTTTTGACTTCGAGAAGCCTGGCGTTGACAGCGACGCGACGTTTCGATGAAGGAATCCATCAGTCTTCGTCAACATCTCCAGAACTCTACATACTCAAGATCCGTTGTAGTATATCGAATGCAGAGCGTCGAACGGAGCGAGCATCAGACTCGACGCGAGATTCTGTTTCACTACTCGTCGTGAAGCGATCGTGTATGTACCTATGTATTTACTGTGCGGGGCTTTGGCTCGCGAACGGTTCCGACACGACGGCCGACGATGAATTCTATTCGGACAGCTATCGGGACTCTTCTCTGGGAGGACGACAATAGTGAGCCGTTCGAAGTAGACAAAGTAAGTATACTGTGTCTCGTCCCCTCGGCCGACATCGACGACGTCCTTGTCGTCGCTCAATTTCTCAGTTGGTTTGCTCCGAGGCCCGAAGGAAAACGAACGCCCGCCGGCTCGCTCGCTCGCCCAGTCGGCTACTCACTCTTTGCCACCGGAGCCAAATGGCCGGATGTTTCCAATAGAGAGAATTGATGTGACGAGAAGGTCCTTTGAGTAAGATGGACCCACAGAGCGGCTCGACCACAGGATTCAGAGCGCTATTCCTCGTCGAGGAAAGTGTGTCCGTCTCGTTGACGTCCGTCGCTCGGTCGAACAAGTTTCAGCATCGTTAGCTGCAAGTGCAGGCGGGCCCGCCTGCCCGTCTGGCCGCCAACCGAGTCGTCTTTCCTGAGCAGCTTTCTAGGCTTAATCAGGTGGAGGGAATGGAAAGAGCACTTCGGGCGCCTCGTTTCGCCCGACACCCAACGACTGCATACCGTGTATGGAGCGAAAGCAGCTGTTGTGCTACTCTGAGTGCGTCTGTGGCAGGTGGGTGCGCGCGCGGTGACCACCTGCCTGAGGCGGACTCCTTTGTTTTTTGCTGACAATACCATATCTGCCCGAGCAGCAGACCCGTTCCAGAGTCTACGCTCCGCTGTGATAAATTTGTTCGACAGCGAGGCCGACGTCGACGACCACGCTTTTGTCTCTCCGTAGTCCATGCAGGAACGAAACGAGCAGGCGACGCCGACGTGAGGCCCGCCGCACTGTGGCACAACCGCCCTCCGATGCGCCCTCCTTGATCCCCTGATGTTCCTCACCCTTCCGATGCGCTCCTTGATCCTCTGATGTCCCCCCCCCCGTCCCCCACCTTTCGTCCCCGTTTTTCCCCGAATAACTCTCTTTCTTTTCCACTTCGTCGCTCAGTCTCTCTCCCTGCTTTTCCCGGGGCAAATGCACACCAGGGCTTAGATCCCTTGGGAACTTCAACGACCACGTTTCAGCGGCCGCAGGACTATAAAGCGGGGATTATTGTCAACATCTTCTTCTGTCGTCAATTGTCTTACAATTGAACGGGAGCTTTGCGGGCTCTCCCTCTCTGGAATGTTTGACTTCGTGGCTTCGAGTTCGACTCTTACGTGCCCGATCACATGGAGCTGTCCTCACACGGTACGAAGTAGAGCTCCCGGACTGGGTCCAATCACCTGCGCCTGCGGCTCGCCGGGTGCCGCGTGTTTGAGGGAATCACGCGGGTTTCCACACGGAGGCGTCTCTGCATGCACGTGCATTCTGCGACGTGCACCCGAGGCAGGGGATCGCTTTTAGATATTGATATTTACGGAGGTAGGAAACGCCGAATCGGGAACAGAAGACCCATGGGGAAAGAAAACAGTAAGGAAAAAGAAGGGAAAAGCTTCCAGAAGCGTCTCGAGAACTAGCACAGGATGGCAAAGCAACTCAAAAAGAGCTTTGTGCACGAAGGTGCCGAGCACGTTGATCCGAGCATTGGGAGATCCGAAGTGGACTCTTCCGAGTGAACGAAAGGCGAGGATATTCTCGTGGGCCACCTCGGAATAAAACAACAAAAAATCCGAGGTCAAACAGCAGACGGAGTCGCTGTGCGGGTACGTAGTCCGGATTGCTGATCCGAGGATCGCAGAAATGGAATTGTTGTTCGCTCGGTGCGGTAGCTCGCGAGGGGTCACTAATCCCAAACGTGGGTCGGCGAGTGCATAATTTACGGTGGTCATTTGAAATCATCTCGCTCGGTGTTGTTCTCTCTTGTTGACACGATGCTCGTCTTGATTAGTGCGAATTGGACGTCCCGGGCTTCGGTGTATACAAAAGCGAAAGAGCATCCCAGCGGGATAGGGATTCCCCGGTTCTGTTTGGGGGGAAACTGTCGCACGCCTCCTGACCGTTCCCGGGAAGCGAGCAATGTCTGTCGTTGAATCGTAAAATTCATCGTGCCGACCGTCGGTGGAGCGTTTTGGCACCGTCGATTGATCCCGCTGAGAGCTGAATGTCGTAATTTACAAAATTTGTGCTAATTCTGGCCATTGTAGGCGATCTCAATGGCTCGCAATTTAATCAGGTGATGGCGTTTCGTGTGGTATGGTTCCAAATTTTTCGAAATAATCCGTGTCAGGCTTCCTCTGCTTTTAATTGGCACGGAGAAAAACTTGCCCGGCTGGTTGGTTCTTCGGTCGTTTAAGCGGCTGAAGGTGAGTAGAACGTGGTTGTCACTATTGTCGACGGCTGCGAAGAAGAAGAATCGACCTCGTCGCTCGGTCGAAAGTAGCGGAGGAAGAAGCAATGATTCAGTGTCACTAAAATTGGACGGAACTTCCTGCTCCGATGAAAATAGAGTGTGGACGGATCCGCTTTTTCGCGAGACGGGACAAACCTGATCGGTAGGACGTCGGCTCCTCGCGAGGGCGGAAACCATTGTAGCCGAGCGCGAAAATTACACATCGAGCACGATATAAATCTACGTAAATTTCACGGGAGCGCACGAATCTGGGCCGGGTTCACGACGAGGGAGGAAATCGTAATTCTCCTAAGGCAGACCCGACAGACTTTTGGATATGCCCAACTCGTGGAGATACCATCGAGATCCGGACAGAAGTCTCATCGCGCAGCGGGCCCGGGAACGTGTTCGTATTTATGGCGACGAGTCTCTTCTGTCTCTCTGTGGTGACCATCTCGACAGGAACGCTACAGAAGAAGAGTCTCAATCGGCTTGGGGTTTCGACCGTCCTCCACGCACGTCGATAGACGGTCGGCGACCACGAACAGTGTTTCCACAAGGTCTGAGAGTATTTGTGCGGTGTTGTGTCCACCGATGCAGCCCGCTGCCAGCGCTGGACATCCAGAGAGATGTAGCTACCAAACAAATGGCCTGGGACGCCGGAAGGTGAGGCTTTCAATCCACAGAGCACATCTCCTCGAGACCCAGGCATCAAAGGTTCGCTGAGACCCCTGTGAACCACGCTCTCCTGTCCTGCTGTGATACAGCCAGATAATGCAACGTCACTCGCTCGCTCACTCGTTCGCTCACTTGTCCAACCGCGTGGCTGGCTGTCTGCGAGCTCGTACAAAAATGGTTCGCGACGACGAACCAACAAGCAGCACATTCCCCCTAACGACGCACTCATCAGACGGTGCTGAATGTAAGTGAGTGAGTGCGAGGGCGGGAGAGAGGGTGCGGGCCGGCGGGAAAAAATGCAATGCTTGTGTCCTCGGTGTGGGCTCTGCGCCTTCGGAAAGATCATGAATGACGGAAGGACTCGATTCACGAGTCGGTACCGCATCACGCGATTAGTTGCGGCTTTCTCCGCGCGTTCGCAAACGTTATCTTTTTCTAAAACAGAAGAAAATATCTCGTCCTTTCTACTCACCAGGTTCTATTTGGCTGTTGGTTCGCGTTGGTCGAGACGAGTTCGTAGCGCTGGGGCAACAGGCCGCCCCCAGTCCTGATCTGACGCGCTATCACCATCCATTTGCTGTTCGCGGCTTTCGCCATGGTTTAGCTCTTTGTTTCAAAGTTCTCTACGATCTCGCGTGCTCCTCCCGCACCCCTTGCACGGCGTTCTGAGTCTCGCGGTCGAATTTTCAGAAACAACGTTCTCGCGAGATGTCCCGGCTGAGACTCTGCTCACGAAATTCGTTATACGTAATGCCGAAGAATTAGTTTCGCTCCCATGAATACTTTCCTCTCGGAGATCGGAACTTGTCAAAAATCATCACGATTGCATCACCACAGGAACTGGCGTCGACTAAAGCTTCTAGAATTTCCCGCTCAACTCTCCCGATGGTCGTTTTCGGTTGACGGTTTCCTCGCTCAGGGCTTGCTTTCGGGTTTGCTTCTTCAAATCAGCTCACTGACTCTCTTGTTTAGGCTTGTTCTGGCGAAGTGTAATCTTCCAATAAACGCTTGACTGGTCCACTGGGAACTTGATCGGTTGACGGCTGAAATCGTAGACGTCCTCCTCTCGAGATACTTCCCTCGCACTGGTAGTAGTATCAGAAGTAGTAACCGTGTATTGTAGACGTGACTACTCTTGGTCGATGCGTCAGTGGGTCTTCGATTTCGTCTGGATCCCAACTTGATAGAGCTATTGCGATGCTCTTGTTCCATTCATTTGTTTTTCCGTTCGTCTTACCAACGACTTATTGCGACTTTTTCATCTTTGACTGGCTGCTTTTTCTATGCATCCGACGGTTTTTCGGAATTCTTGTGTTTTTTGTTGCTCGAGATGCTGTTCGTTTCTGTCTAGGTTCAGGTGTGTCATCGTTATTGCCTGGGGAATTCTCGGAAGAGTGAAGTAGGTATGTAGATCCAGTACGAATTGATGATGATAGATGATTCACGGACTCAATGACGGTGGCCAGGTGAAAAGATTGATTGACTGATTGGTAGAAGGATAAGTTGGTAGACTGGTTGTCGATTGATTGATTTGATGAACGGTAAGATGACTATCTCGACTCGGGCGCTTCGTGCACCGAATCGATGATGCAACTAGTTGTCGGTCGCGGTGGTTGTGGTGAGGAGCACTCGTTCTACTGGTCTAGAACTCATGCACTTCATTTGCGATTACTTGGTTGATTGAATTTCAACTGCACTCGATGTTTTCGGAGTGGACATCGTTGTGGGTTTGTTGCTTGGTTGGTTGATGATTGGCGCACTGACTGACTGACTGATTGCTTGCTTGAATGATTGACGGTTAGCTTGGTTGACTGAGCGGCTCACTTGGTTGATCGCATGGAGTAGTACGATGTACGTTTTGAACTCTAAGGTGCTTTTGGTTGGTTCAAGCTTGGCTTCAGCGTCTATTGTATCCGTTCCCTTATTCTCTACTCTGTGGTCGTTCTCGCATCCTCGATTTGGAACAGAATCAGCTCCCTCATCGTTCTGAGCTCGGCTTGCCCCTAGTCTTCCCCAGACGTTGAAGTTGGATTCCAGCGTGGAGCGAAATTCGCGGTGAACAGATATCTTGCGTCAGAGGAAAAAATCGATGATGAGTCGCGAGGAGGCAGTGAGGAGACTAGACTGAGGGCAGCCTACGAGGCGGGAATGAAACTCGTCAGCTGTTCACCGGGTGGCTCGAAATCCGCGGTTCTCCTTGTCGTCGTTTCTCAATTCGAGAAGGAGCCACCGGAGTGACACGCTGCTTCTGCTTGGCTGGCTGAATGACTGAGTGGCTGATTATTGAACTGAGTGTCCGATCCTCAGACAGCTTATATCGCTTTGGACTCGAGTTGACCCTTAGCCGGCGTCCCCTGACGTTCTGACCGGGAAGTATCGTTGAAAACGCGTTGTAAGTCGCCAGGAGAACATCGCTACTCCTGTTTTAAGCACTGGAGCGACGTGAGCACCTCCTGTGACCACAATCGAACTGTCTGATTGGCTTCGCACAAACGGACCTCCGCCAGTCGTGGCCGTGGCGGCAGCGGCGCCAGCAGCGGCAGAACTCACGATTTGCCATGGAGACCAACCGAAAGCGAAGAGGGCGAGTTAGTGAGTTGAGTGAGGGCCGCAATCCACAATCAATAGCCCACCCACGGTCGCACGTTGCTGCTGCTGTACATTTCTTCGTCTCGTCTCTCCTTTCCTGATCTCACGCCACACGTTTTCACGTCGTCTATCGTCGAGAGCTCCGAGCGCCGAGGACGCGCGTATCCCTTGCACGGTCGACGTCGTCTCCTTCGGATGACACGCGATTCCGTGGCTGCTTCCGAGCGTGCCGGACGTGCGGTCTGCTTGCCGTATAAATGAGCCGCCTTTGCGGCCGATGCTCGTACTCTACACCGTACACTGGCCTCTTGGGCGAGGGACTCAGAAAAGCGCCACAAGTAGCGGAGCGTCGATCCTCACGGTGAGAATTCACGGGTCCCCGAGCATACGCTCCCGCATCGACGAAATTCACGGTCCGCACCGACGTCAAACGCGCTTCAAGAAATGCCTCAACACATCGGTTCTTCCGACAGCCGTCCGACAGACTCAGTTCGCCGCCGTCGAGCAGCTCCTGAACTGCACAGGGGATCGAACCGACCGACGAGCTAACGCAAGCACGCACGTTCGCTCGTGGGGAAGGGTGCTTCGGGAGCAGAGACAGGTAGTGTAGGAGCCACCTGGAAGCAGGAGGCTGGCAGGCAGGCAGACGGCCACCGACCCAGCCAGCCGGTCGCTCTCCAGCCAGCCAGCCGGCCGGCCGACCGACATGGGGAAGAGACAGGAGAGGGACTCGAAGCGAACCAAGGATTTCCTTCGGTACAGCTTTATAACTCGACTCCAACGAGCCACCGAAACCACATCGGTACAGCCAGAAGCGGCACGAGATGCGCAATGGCACTCTCGGGATCTCCAAGGCCGGAACGTAGGCGATCTACACGACATCTCGCCATGCGGTAATGCGGGCTCCTCGCCAGTGGAGGAGGTGATGATCGCTTGCCCCGTCCCGGCTGTAGAAGACGGCTGGCGTATCCGCAATGCGTCGTGCGAAAAGCGCATTCAGGGATCGCCACGAGTTCGAGCCTTTTGAGACTCTCCGTTGTTTGAATACACGAACAGGTACGAACAGCAAGTCCGCTGAGCCGAAAGTCTCTTGGTGAGAGGAAGAGGTCGAGACTCTCGACAAGCTCACTCAGTCATCGGACTCTTCGCTTCCGGGACCCCCAGCTCCCAGAGCACAGGTTAAATTACTGTCATTATAAATTTCTACTTTTGACTTAGAACTACGCTCCGCTCCTCGTAAGGGCGGGCATGTCATAGATGTCACCTCGCCCTGGAAAAATCGAGGAAGGGAGGTGGATCTTCCTCCCGATGCTTTCTTCCAGACACTTTCCGGGTTGCCGATCGGTTGGCATACGGCAGTGTGAACTTCACATAATCTCGGACAGGTGCACGCTACCTTTTGTGCACGAATCGCGTTTACTGTCCTCTGCGTGGACGCGCCGCAAAACTGTTGGAGCGGGTCCAAGTGAGTGCTGATCGGGGACGCCTCCGGGGCGAGGATCTATTGGCTCGATAGTCAGGCGCGATGACGGGTCGACAGGAAGCTTCAAACGTCTCGGAGTAGCTCCTCTCAGCTTCTTCCGCGGGAACCTGAATCAGTGGCGCCAACCAGAAACACGGCACGGAATTTACCCTGATGGGCTCGTTGCCTAGCTGAAGACGAGCTATCCCTCAAGTACGGGGAATGACCGATTTCAAGACTCATCACAGATAGTGTGACGGCTTAGTATCGCCTAAGATGTCAGTTGACATTGTCTTCGCCTTCTTGTTGACGGTCGATCGCAGACTCCCGTGGAAGTCCGAGGCGGGGTTGACGATCGAATAGGAATCTCAGAAACTTCCAATCGAGCCTTTCCATCGCAGAGATCAAAATTACGCCGGGCGTCTTCAAGGCCTATACTTCAGCCTGCAGGCTACTGACATGAATAAACCAAACAGCACAGCAGGATACGCTCGGACCAGCGATTGCAGCAGCCAGATATTCCGTTTGTCGTTATGAGCTCAGTACATACTTATGATCCATGATATATCAATGATTGCCCTCTCAGGTGGCCGTTTTCGAAACAGATTACCTGGTCGCGGAGCCGAACGTCGCTGAGAGAGGATATTGGGGTGATCAAGCTACACCGAGAGAGCGAGGAAAAGGATCGGCTCATCTTCGACCCGACAAAGAGAGCTCGGCCTGCAGGTCCTCGTTCTAGACCAGACAGATCGAACTAAGCGGAAATTAGATGTCCTCTTTCTCCCTAAACCACCGGATGCAAGAGAAGGAAGAGAGGCTTAGGCACCGGTCCCTTGACCGGCGGGCCTGCTGACAAGCCATCCAACTGGCGGTGTCGAACTAGGAAGCCGGTTCAGGGCAAGCTTAAACGCCGGAATGATCAGTCACGGATCCGACGTTAGGAACCTTTCTTCCTTCCACGACTCAAGGTGTCCCCGCTCGAATTCCTTCTCCTGTGTCGGCAGCGATTTTGTTATCTTCTCTGGATATCTTGAGATCACGTAATTAATCCCGACAGCAGAGCTGATGGTAAATGTAGAGATTCATTCCTGTGAGGTCACGTGGAAGTCACGCAGGGCTCACCGCTCCAGCGGTTCTTTGTGTCTTTTCGATTCAGTAGATGGACGACATCCTTCGCTTCTCGGTCGCAGCAGCACCGGCTGATCCTTCAGACGCTCCCTCCGACTGTCACGTTTTCTCCGCGTCGTCCGCGACGGGTCGACAAACTTCTGATTGGCTCTGCTGACGAGCGTTCGACCGCGAATTGATTGCAATCATATTGTTGCTCAGGATGAGCCGGCGCAGGACGAGAGGCGTCGAATTCCGTTCCGACTTTTCGTTTTGAAAATTCACGTGACGAGGACCAATGCATGAGAGCCGTGGGTCAACATCTACTTCTTCGGAAAGTCTTCTCATTTTTCGCCACCGTTCGCGAGAAAGATCTCGATAGTGACGTCAGGAGCTTTCCCGGATTCGTGATTTGCTCTTGTGAGAGTCATGAACATTC